CACAAAATAAACTTTAAACATATTTTCAGGCGAGAATGTGGGTGTGTAAACTTCAAATATCTGCTCGGTTTGTCAAGATATGACATATTTGCAAAAGTGCTTCGACGTTTTCGGTGACGTCTGTCACCCCACCAGATGAACACAAAAAACGGAGAAAGATTTCGGGGTCCATTTTCGATTTTCGTGCGGTGGCGCTGACAACCGGAAATACTCTGAATTAAGGGCGGGAGTAGATGAGAAGGCTAGACCGTCCAATTCCATAGCCGTTTACTTCCGGCCTACCCGACCTCCTGAGGACCCGGCCTTCGCGGTCTACGGGGGCCGGGTCATTTGATTCAGGTGTGTTGACTCTGGGTGAGAGCTAAAACCTGTAGGACACCGGCCCTCGAGGCCTGGAGTTGCCCACCCCTGCTTTAAAGGTTAAAAGTATCCTTAGGGATATCGTTACACTGGCCCTGTATTTACTTGGTATCGGGTCCTAAAACTGCAGAATGGCACAGCACCCTTGGGCAATTGAAGTTAATTCATTTATGGTTTCAGCTCATAACAAATCATTGTTAAGATCTTTTGTGTGATGTCATCTCAGTCACTCGTTCAAGTAGACTGTTGTGGTACAGGATGGACGTGTGCGGTGATGGTGTAGGTCCACGGAGGAAAATAAAGTGGATAAACGGCTCAGTTTGACTCCAGCACTCTCACGCTCACTGCGCGAGCTTGTCTAGCTAATTAGAATTAACAGCATTAACCAGGAACCGCTCCTCTCAACCAATGGCGTCCTTCTACAGCTTATGATTATTCATGAGGCGGGGCTCGGCGCGCCAGCCCACTGGTGGAGGCTGACGGGAGGGCGGTGCCCACCGGACCTACCGCGCGGGGTGGTGCGGAACCGCGGAGTGTGTCTTGCGTAGGGCGAGATGTTGTTTTTTTGTGGCGATCTGCTGAACGTGGCATCGCTGTCCGGTCTGACACAACAGTGGGAAGCACAACCAGCCCCTCCGGTCCTCCCTGCACAGAAACCCGGGCGCACAGCAGCTGATCCCGGCGCATCACAATCCAGGAAATGCGGACTTCTGGCCCCTTCGCAACGGGATAAATGGCTGCAGCGCCAGCACCGTAGCAAGCTGGTAAATATGAACCGTGTCGGCTGTTTGTTACTTACTTTCATTTGGCTTGTGGTGCTCGTCAGAAAGAAAGCGCGAGAGAGACCGAGAGGGGAGGGGTGCACGGTGTGAAGTTGACAGCTGATCCCGGCCGTATTTTATTTTATTTTATTTTTGGTGTTTATTTATTTTAAAAAGCGTGAGTGTGATATGAAGTTGAGCGATGCGTTTTGGTGATAAATGATTAAAGATGTGTTGCGTGTAGCGGACCCGAGCAGCAGAGCGAGTTTTTTCCCCCTTTTCTTTGGGAGGGGGGCACCAAAGTACTGTACGCTGAAGTAGCGGCAGGGGCGCTGCACATATACAGCTGACAGCATATGCTTCATCATGCACCTTCATTCACCCCGGCTGTCCTCAATAGCTACCCGGCTGAGGAGAGCAGCAGTGGTGGGGATGGGGGGCTAGCACACGCACGCTACGCATAAACAAGCGATTCACGATCAGGCCTGTGAAGTTATTTGTAATGGGCTACACCTACACTTGCCAGATTTTTGGACGATGACATCATGCTTTTGTACTCTGTTGATCTGCTTTTATATGATAGATGGGCTCGGTTAACAAAACGGGGTTTTTTTGGTGGTCTTTTCATCTACTTGAAGTTGTGTCATTGAGTTTTAGTGTAACTCTATCTATCTGTGTAAAATCAGAAGTTGGCATAAGGCAAAGTCATGGTTTTGCACCTCTGATGTTACTTTTACAGGAAGTGAGATATGGAGAGCACTTGAAATCTGTTGTTCTGTGTAGATGAAGACCACAGCCAGCTGATGCTGTCGCGTTTTTGTTTTGTTTTGTTGTGTTTTACATAGGAGATGAGGTTCAGTACCTCGTCAGTG